ATCCCTTTACAGCTGTGGTCTGATCAAGAAAGGGGCACTTAAGGGAATACGACTACAACTTGCTCTTCTGGGTTACATTAAAATCCATTGATTTCCATCTGTTACTTGAACAAAACAGAGTGCACTTTTGATAAAAATAAAATGGCTTATTTTGGAGAATATACGTTAAACATATTTGGTATTTATGGTCTGTAATTGGATGATTCTGTTCTTCTTAAGAGTTACTTGATAATACAAGCAAGAGGAAGTCACTATGTGCAAAAGACCTATTTTCACCCCAAGTACAAGAAGCTCTTTCATTTCATTACCTCATTAGAAGCACTACAGAAAGCATCCCACTTGCAAGTCCGCTGGCCTCCTCATTCAGCAAAGCCCCTGCACTGAAATGCATCTGTTTGTGTGCTTTGAGTTCAGCACGTGCCTAAGTACTTTTCTAAACAGGTGTCAACAGCTTTCTACTTTCCAGGCTAATTTCATTTCCCCTTTGCTCCTCTTGCCTCAAAAGGAGGAGAGATCATTGCCACTGCAGAAAGCTGACCAAGCCTGCAAATGCTTTTTTTCCTGGGGCTTCTGCAACAGTCAAAGTTGTATGTGCAAACCCCAGGTTCAACACTGCAATCACACACTGAAGACATCTGCACTGTTACGACACACATGACCATGTTGGGCCAAATATAATGGCTCAAATATATAATAAAACTGCCAGGTTTCCTTCCTTCCCTGGAACACCTGTAATGTTAGTTTAAGCAGCTGGCTACAGCAGCTTGTGAAGCTCTGAACCACAGGAGCAGTGCAGAGCAGCTGGGATACCTTGCAGAGATGACCTCTTTTACTTACATGCCTTAGGCTTTGATTAGGAGCTTTCTTTTGCTGCTGCAGGTGGAAAATACCCGTCACCAACATCTGCCCCTGTTCACATGAAACACGGGAGCGTTAAAAGACAAGATTAGTGGCATAACTTCTCCAAGATGACCTCACCTATGTATCTCCTACTGCTTTCTCCTTTACTCCCAGGGCAGGAACACCAAACCTAGCTCAGTGATACTAACCTCAGGTTGATGGTCTCGTCAGGACTATACTTTAACTCAAGTTTTAGATTATAAATCCTTTCAAGTGTTCAGTGTAACAGTATCCGAGTCTTCAAAGGTTACCCAAGTGTGTATCAGAGCCCTGCTGACTGACCAACCTTCATAGAAAATAAAAGGTGAAGAAGAAATTGTTGTTAGGATTAGAAATTGTCTTTGAATAGCAAATTCAAGAGGGAAAAAAGAACTATGAAGCATATGCCTTATACACTGTCATTACAAACTGCCACATGGGAGCCTACGGAATGGTTAGCCATTTTTCAGTCTACTCACAGTGTCCAAGTGGCTTTGATGAGATCTTGTGGTAATTTAACTAATATTACTCATGGGCAGAGAAGCAAATAATTAACTTAAAATCAGGGAAAGTATTTGTCGTTTTCCTTTAAAATAAGGCCACAGTTGCTATAGAGAGACAGCAAACCATGGTTTTATCACACACAAGCTAAATCACAAACTAAAATAATTTAATTTTGGAATTGTGTCAAAAGTTTGCAAATTATAGCAACTTCTGTAACAGAGTGGTATGGGAACTTTGCATATATGTTTTGGGGTAGCTAAATGCAAGTAGAAGGTGAGGATGAGCTTTCTAAAGCCAAATAGAGGATACAGTCATACTGAAATTCATGGCAACTCTATGGCTAGACTTTCTAACCAGCCTTAAAAAAATCCCCACCCCTTTTTTATATTCTGTACTAAGTTAAGAGAGTATTATTAAGATTGCCAAGTCAGGCATTCAAGAGTGAGGTAATGTCAGAATTAAGGCCGTCTGTGCAACCTTAATCTGGCCCCTTGTGAGGATGAATTATGATATTGCCTTTAATTAGATGATCACACAATATTTTTTCCTATGCCTCATTCACAACACATGATGGATGGTGCTCACTGAATGATGAAACTGTATTTTGTTTTTTTCCTTGTGGTTCAAGGTGTGGCAGCCTGCCTTATTTACAGCATGCTATATGACAACAAAACTAATGATTTCTTCCCAGAGTTTTCTATGTGGTTTATCATTACAGCTACGACACACTCAACACACATTACTAACTTAATTTTATGGCAGTCCTCAAGGGAAAAGCTAGTTTTTTCACTTAGTTTATCCATCCAGAACCTATTCTCATTGCTCAGGTTTTCATCAAAGCTTTGCTTCCTTCATATTTCATCTAGGTGGTTTATTCACATCAGCTTTGGGGAGGTACTGACAATACCTGGGAACCAAAGTTGGGGTCCCCATTCTGGTGTGTGTCTTGGGTAGTCAGGCCTGGAGAAAGTCAACAGATCAGGGACAGTATAGGAAATCCTGTTCAGCCACAAGATGGAGAATTCCTAAAGTTGGCACTTTGGAGAATTATCTGTGCACTAAAGGGAAGTGCAGGCATATTTTTTTTAAAACCTGGACAAAGACAAATAGATTTTCCCCACAAATTCAGAAGCGTTACTAACATAGACCCTATCCTTCTTCTGAAGACCCAGTTCCACGGCAAGAGAAAAGTAGAGAAAAGTTTTCCAGACATGATTTTTTTTTTTCCCTCAAAGACTTGCACTTGGAAATAGATGACTTGTTCTGACAAAAAGTTTTCCACCAAAAAAATAGTTCCCCCAAGAGAAATACCTTTCAGGGACAATTTCAGCCAAGATGGTTGAAATTTGGCATGCTTACAAGTGACTTTTACTTTAGTCATCATTCATCCATCATCTTTCTTAAGAATGATGGACTGTGTAATTCTAAAGGGAATGAACACATTCTAGAAGAGCGCTCTCTGGGTACACAGGCCCCTAAGTTATTTATGTCATGGTTCATACATCATAGGCTGGATTTAATGCTCTAAAATGTTTTTGACTTTAAATACGATGATTCAAAGCTCATAGGAGGTGGAGAACTTTCTGAGATCTGAGAAGACAAATTGAGTTCAAACTTCCTTGGAATACTATAAATTTCCTCAAACCAAATTAAACCCATCACATTTTGTGCCACATATATTGCCTTTGGCTAACACTGCCAACCTCAGGGGCTTAACTGAGATCTAAGCTTGGTAGTCTATTTTTTTTTAAGGTAAAGAATATTCACAAATTCACAGAAAAGAGGGTAAACAATTTTAAGTGTCCCTATGCTGTACCTCTGAAATGGAGTCTTCTGTCACTTGGACACATACCTATGGATTCAGCTATGCAATTTCGATCTCCGATGTTTCTGTTCTCTTTATATTCTTATTACTTTTCAGTATCACCTAAAATGACATGGTATTAGAAGATAAACTTATCTTGAGCAGGTGCAAAAGTTACTGAGAAAGAGGAATCTTTCCAGCAACAGCAACTGTTTTTTGAGATCTCAGATATTCAGTGGTGCAACAAATAGAGAAGAGACATTCAGAGCGTGCTATAGCAGAATGTGTACAGCTGTGTGGCATTTTGGTATTTCTTGTCTTTATTTAGCACATTCTTTCAATCAGAATTAATTCCTGAATTCGCTGAAGGAAACAATCCTCATGAAATAAAAAAAAAATTTGCAAAAATGTCTTAGACTTAACAGCAGAGCATGAGTTATGCAAGTTCTTCTAATGACAAACAAGTCATCATGGTTTGTGCTTCAGGCTTCCCACCCTAAGCCGCAGTTGATAATCTCTCACAATGCAATGTCTGCCACCGCTGCTGCTGCTGTTGGAAAGCACCGCCAAATTCCTTAGCACATTAATTGTCCACCAGTACTTTCATGTGCTACCACAGCTTTCAGAAGCGGTGACTTTAAACAGCTCCTAGCTCACCAAACATGACTGAATCAATGTTTTCTTTCCTTCCTGAGTTTTGAAAGCCTGTTGCAAATAACAGACAACTTACTACCTCCAATAACAACCATCAATTACGATCAAGTCCTAATTATTGTGGATAGAGTCACCATGTTGCCGTATGTAACACAGCTCAGGTCCTGCAGAACATAATATTCCTAAGGCAAGGCCACATGGCTGCAGCTAATTTGCTTCCAAATGATGTTCGTTTTGTGTGTCCTGTCCTCTCCCTCTGTGGGACCTCAGAGGAGCTCCTTCTCCTTTATCTGGCCACTTATTTCCATGAACTTGTCTAGCTCTGAGATCTCTGCAACTCTGATCAACAAGTTACAAATTATTGAGAGGACAGACAGTCACAAAGAGTATCATCACAGAAGCCATTTTTTGAAGGAAATAAACCAAAAAGAACATTGTTGAACTTTTGCACTGTTGCCTATGACAATGTGTACATAAATACAAGTACATTAAAAAAATACCATGGAGGCATGTCACGAGTTGCATGAGATCAGTTTCCCTCAGAACTGTTCCAGAGCAGGAACATTCCTAACAAAACTCTGTGGAAATCCCTTTAATAAAAATCACACATTAATATTATACATCTTTGAAGTGCTCTGCATGTGTTAAAATAAATACATCTAAATACACTAATGAATAAATATGTGATGTGAATACCAAGACATGTGGATGTTAAAGTTACTTTTTTATAAATAATTTCTTGCTGAAAGTTATTCCATTCACTTTATTTTAATTCTAGACATTTTTTCTGCCTGCTAGAATTCCTTTTTGATTATCTGATAATTAAACAGAATCCTGTCAAGTTTAAATGATTGTTAGTATTTTGCAACTGAATTCCTAATACAAACAGGCATAGTTTAAACATTTGCTTACGTGCCCTCCTGAAGTAAGGCTTAAATGCTCTCTCTGGTACAACACTAATGGCTCAGCCCATCTACTGAGTGAGAACTTACAACTTGAAAATGCAGGATCAGGTCTTGTACTAGGAAAACAAGAAGAAAAATCCTCATGTATAAATAGTATTCTATGCAGCTGACACTGGAAAACCTGCAAATGTGTAATTCAAATTCCATCAATCCATCTAGAATTTCAAGAATCAGTAGGAAGAAAGAGAAATGCAGGGATACTTTGATCTTTATTTAGGCCTATTTAAGAAAAGTTGTATCATATTCAGATAGTCTAATATAGCAAATAAGATTTTACTAGACTGATAAAATTTTTAACATGACTGATTTAAGGCAGCTGTTACATCGTGTTACATTAATATTTCAGTCAGACTGAATTCTTCGGATACATTCATGCAATTAAGTTCTACTGTGTTTTTACACTGTACTTTGAAATACACAGGATTGTTTTGTTTCCCCATATTAGATCTATCTGCCTAAATTTTTCTCAAACAATACAGAGAACGGACTCATTGTTCTTCTTGGTGGACGTGAAAAGATGTAATGACTTAATGATTTAATGACTTATTTGATGCAAGAAATGCATGTTGAGAATGCCATGGAGATAAATATACATCTTATATGTCTAAGTCACATGCAAGCATGGAGAAATAGGAACGGAGGTTGAAACATTATTATTATTCTTAGCTAAAATAATTTTTCCCTCCATATAAAACCCAAAAATATCCCTGCACTGAGCAGAGGGCCCATTAAACTTCCTCCTTTCCAAAAGATTCCTCTCCATGCCAACCTCTGTCAGGGATAAGAAATCTTCCATGGAGCCATAAACAATTCTCCATGTTTCTTCTATTGTTCAGTCCAATTTCGGCTTTTCTTTTCCTTCTTCAATACCTGAAAACATGGAAAACAGCTTTTAAAGATCTCTCAATGAATAAAAATGTAAAGTTTACTTAGAGAGGTTCTTCTAATGTGTTAATTTTTCTTTTCGCTCTGTTGCTGTTGTTTCTCCCCTACTTCCTCACATGCTTTTGCATGTGTTACCTCACCTGCTGTGAACGAAAGGAGCATCTGCACACCTGATGGCAGTGGTTGTCCAGTAATGAACTGCACAATGCTCCCTCCCTCCAGACAGTTTTCAAATCAGCCTAACCCCCTGCCGCACACTCAGCCTTTGACTGCTGCAGGGGTCTGGGAACAGTTAGTTCCCTCACCTCCTCTGCTTACCTACAAGTAAATTAAAGCAGATGTTATTATAGCTGAAGCTAAGCAGATGACTTTATTTAAAAGCAAATTTTCAGAATTGTGTTTCAGAATTCAATAATTTAACAATCCACCCACCCCATTTCAACATTAGATTTTTAAATATTTGCAAGTACATCTCCCTTTTTTGAGAGTACAAGAATGAAGAATCAATTACTATTGATATGGCGGCTCTCTCTTCTTCTAACAGCCGTGCCTTTCAGTACCATCAGGAGGGCTGAGTTGAGTGTAGGGCTCCTTAAAGAACTTATCCTTGCTGCAGGACTTGTCTCTTTTCTATGCTGAGCAAAGTCTGGGCTGGGCAGCAGACTGTGTTTTTTCTGGCAATTAAAACATTTAGCTATTTCATATGCCTGTTCCTGGACAACGAATTACTACTGGTATCTGACAAAAGTATTGTTCTTCTGACTAAGCCCTCTCTGCCAGACATCTCAAATACAAATATTTCTTTTGGAGGTTTTCAGGCCTGCTGCATGCTGGAAAAGAAAGACTTCTGAGGACTGAAGGCAAAAGAGAAGCAATGTTTGAGAATGCTGAAAGGAAAATCCAGTCACACAAGTATGATCACCTGCTAATGCAATACCCACATAGATGGCAGGTACATCGAAAGCCACTCTAAAAACATAGTTAATTAATTCCAATACAGGAAGGAGTAAGACTCGTCTGCACTTAGAAAGCACAACTGCAGAGTTGCCTTGGTGAAAGAAGCACACAGAAACAAATGGGTCTGTGCATTGCCACAAGCCCAAGTACAATGGCCCTGGGTGTTGCTGGCAAACCAATGTAATGGAAGAGCCACAGTTGAAGGTTTAAAAAACAAAACAAGAGGCCAGGTCCAAAAGATTACAGTGGGCTTACAATGCTGCTCCAGAGCCAGTCTTGAGTCTTCTGCTTTCTGCTGGAAGGAACTTTTCCAATAGTTTTAAATGAGCTGTTTTATTTGCCTTTTTAAAAGACCTTCTTTCCTTTCTTCTGAAGCACTCTACTGCAGATACATCAAATAGTTTGGCAGGAATGCAGATACCCTCAAAACTGTGGACAGACACTGGCTTGTACAAAGGGCAAATTTTTCCTTGCCTACCATGTTTGTGGTTTAACTTGGAAAAACTAACTGCAAATCATTTTGTCAGTAGTGAGGTTTTATTTAATGCATCTCCAGAGGAAAAGGAAAAAAAAAACTTCAAACCCCAACAACCCCCTCTCACCCCAGAAATCTTCTCATGGCAGATTGTTTTAATTTGCAAGCTTACTGCTCAAAAGCCCCTTTTGAATGTACAGTTTTCAAACAATATTCTCCCAACAGACTGGCATTATTTTGCATCTCTGCTGTTTATGGTGTGCCTGCCATACACTTCAGGTTAGGTTTATGAAAAGCGTTTCATGCACAGCAAACCAGCAAGTGACTCGTGGCATTTTCTGGTTACCAAGTGCTTGAGCCACAAAGGACTTTGGATCAATATTCTTTAACCAAATCAAGGAAACTATGGACAGGACAGTAAGGCCATGATGGACTTTGTAAGAGGTTGGAAGAATGATCGGACTGACGTTAGCTCCTCTAGGCTGGAGGGCAGCAAGACCTAAGGATTTTGTTATGCATACTGTGAAACAGTAAAGGAGATTTTCCAACGTTGACTTATTCATGGGCTTGGTAAGAACATGTGATTCTTCACCACATTGCTATTCTTCATACAGGACTTAGGTCAAGTGAAATTATTCCTTGAGCAGCCTTTTTTAGAAAGTTCTTTCCTGAATTAACTTAAATAAGTTAAACAGATGTGAATGTGACATCAAACTGAGGACTGAAAACCAGACTTGAACACTTTGAACAATGATTGCTGGTTCTAGAGCAAAACTAAAAAGACACTTTATAACTAGGTGCTATCTGAGCAAATGGCAAGTAAAACTGCTTTGAGCTTCTGGCATTAGGTTCTGCCTAGTACTGGAGGACTTGTTAAAATAGACTGGTGTGTGCAATAAACTACCATGTGAATTTACAGTGTATTGAACAGTGCAAATTAAGTTTCCCAGAAGGGTATACAGGGTGTTCATAGCATCCAAACATGTTACAGGCCCAATGAATGTCATGACAGAATTCCCATGGAGCATGGATTTCACTCCAGCTGTGATTTGCCACTGTGTTGATTATGAATGTTGTTTGCTTATTTCAGGCAATTTGATAAATGCAAACATCTTTCATAGATTAAAGGAATCTACTTTTAATCTTGTGTTTGTCTTATTTTCCCCTTTCTTCTACTCAGCAATGGGTGGCATAGGCAGGGTAGATGATGTAGAGTCTGCACAGTTACATTTACCCTGCACTAAGGTGATCTTTCATTCCCATTATTTTACTGACATGAACATATTAATTTTCCTTGAGTAGATTTATAAGCAGAAAACACCTAATATGTGAAAATAAGAAAATAATATATTTTTATTTCTAAGTCTAAGCTTACCATTACAGCATTCCCACAGAATGATACTTTATTCTATCAGCATTTAATGGGTTCATCAGCTACTAAGTGGGTTGTAAACCAAGTAGGTTATAAACCTCTCAGGTAATTGCCAACAGCTCTTAAATTAGTATTGTAAATTATAAGAAAGCATACATATTCATAGCTCATCATGCTCTTCAGCAGCCATTCTATTCATCTGGCTGCTTTTAAGAGCAAGCAAGCAAGACATTTCAGTGGAACTTCTGTCATTCTCCTTTGTTTTAGCCAGCTTAAAATCTTCTTGACTTTCAGGGGAGCATACTCAAGTCCTGACAGCGTATTTCATGAGTTAATATTCCTAAAACAATACTCACATTTTGGGGTATCCCAGATGTAGTTGTTCAGGACCTCTCCCACCAAGTAGAATATGTTAATTATTACAGTAACAGCCGCAAAAAAGATTATTTTGACACCTGGGCTGAGGTGCTCAAGAAGTGGGTACACCCACACTCCTGTAACGTGGTGAATCCAGCACACCCTGAAACAAAATAAAAATACTATGACTGATTTCCCACATTCCTACTGCTTTGTTATAAATATAATATGAGCAATTGGACAATTTTCATGTGTTGATGTAGGTAGGTATTTCCGTGCTGCATTCATATTTATGAGGAATACACACCCCTGTTTTGTGCTGCAGTGTGGAAACTGCAGCACCCTCTGTTCCAAACAGGTTCTTTATCCAAAGAGCATTCAGGATTCTCCAGGCTTTCCTACAAAGCCCAACTCTCTGCTTTATGCAGTGCCCTTCTTTCATTTTGTACACATTTGTGTGTTTCTGCTGCTTCTTTTTGCTACATCTGGCAAGTGTGTCAGTTTTTAGGTTTGCCAGAAACACTGTTCAGCTTCTCTTTGAGAGAATAATTTCTTCAGCATCTGTGTTTTAGGTTGCTCCCCCTTTTCTTTCAGTTACCTGGTATCATTTGGGATCTAATAATTTATCTCTAGGTAGGATAAACACTTTAAAAAAAACAAAAAAAGAAAGAAACCATGTCATCAGTAAAATTCTGGCCAAGTCCACACTCAGCATATAGTGAAGAAAAAGAAATGACGGTGGTTTGCTGGTGACAAGAGATTTTTAGCATTCAGCTACAGTGGAGATTGTTGGTACACAAACCCAAGAGACAGAGTGTCAGCTTTACTGCAGTGCAGCCTGAAGAAGCATTCCAGGTATGTTGTTTTGCTGTGTGCAGCTGCAATGGACACCTGCACCCTCTGAAGGGATAGCTTTTGTGTTGAGATCTGACGTGGTGAGTGGTGAAGTCAGAGGGAGCAGAGCAACTACATATGTTTCAGCAGGTGGAAGCTAAGAAAGGCAAATGCAGCCAAACAACTGAGCAAACATCACAGAGGCTAACCATGAAAAGTGCTCAGTGGGGACAGGTCAGGGCCCGTGAGCATCTCTTCCTTTCTAACTCGACAATTTGAGAGAGAAGCTCACAGTGAAGCACAGCTAGAGAAGACTTAGCACCTGCGCAGACTATTATCGATGGGCATTTCCATGTCCATATGATTTGCTTCATTTGCCGATACTTCTCTTAGTTTGAGGAAGACTCTTCATCACTAGATCAACTGTCATAGGCTACTGAAGGGCAGAGACACAGGAGTCCACCCAACACTGTTACCACAAATGCCTGTCACACAGAAGGTACAGAATCCCTGTTTAAGGATTCTCCATCACCCTGGAAATGTACATGGTTGTCATAGCTTCCCTCCTCCTTAGAAAAGCTTTTATTACAGCCAAATCTGTAACAGTTGGACACTTCATGCAGGAATTTACATGTGTCAGCAAATTAATCTGCACAATCTAAACACAGATTAAAACACCTTTCTCCAAAATAGTTCACATATGGAAAATGATCTCTGTACTCCACACTTATTTTCCACAACATACTTCTGTGCCAGAATTAACTTTACAAGACAAAGGTATCTGTGAAAGAATAAAGGGTTGCCTTGTAACCCATGGTAACAGGGGATGCCATGTTCCTCTCAACTGAAGAAAAAGATGAGACAGTTGGGCAGAAGGTAATAGGATGTCATCTACTCCCAGGCTGGCTTAGTAGAGAGTGTCTATTATTGCCTAATGTTTTTCATTTTCATTTGATTTAGTTTTATGGTCATTCTGTGAAAAACAAGCTCCAAGGAAAAAGCTTGAAAAAACAGACAGTGCTTCTTTTTCACTTATTTTCTCTGATATAATGAAACTGCCCAGCACTATAAAGCATCTTTACAGAGGTGACTTTTCAGGAGACCTTCTAAACTGCATCTATGTAGCCAACTTCAAGAACCAAGTAGAAGTGGCATTTACTAGAATGCATTTATGCTGGAGAGAGGAAATATTTTCTAAATCCAACCAATGAGTCACTGATGAGCTCCCGAATGTCAGTGATCTCTGTTTAGTTCAGAATCTTTGAGTACAGGTCACACACTCTGCTCTCCACTGACCAGCATGGGAGCCCATTCATTGCTTGGCAATACTGCTTGTGCATTCAGTAGAGCTGTTGTACGCCTGTCCCTGGTGCATCCACACCGTAGGCTCAGGCTTTGAGCACAAGAGGTACTGAGAGCCATTCGGAAGACAACAGTCACAAACCCACCTCATCAGCCACCTTGATCCTCCTTAAAATGAGCTGCACCACGCTGCTCGCTACATTGGGATGGAGTAATATTAGCCTTCTCTCCACTGAGCAGTGACACACTGACTGTTCCTGCATTGTCTCTACCACAAATGGGAGCAGCAAAGGGATGACTGCTGCCATGGAAACCTCACCTGATGGCCTTTCTTAGCGGGTTCGTTCCTGCTTGAATACAAGCTATCTTGACGCCTCACAATAAAGGGCTGATCAACTGTAGGCATAAAGCTTCCACACAAGATTGCTGATTACTAATGTTAATGAATGCCTTCAACGTTGCAATTCTAGTAGTCATTATTCCTGTCCAACCTCATTATAGATAAGCACAGGGGAGCATGCATTAAGATTTACTTAGGAGTGTAAATCTAGATCCAATTTAAGACCTTGTTATTGAACAGGTATAAAAAAATGGGTCATTCAGATAAAAATAAACTGAGGAGAAAAAGTTTAAGCTAAAACTGGACTGGCTACTTTTAAGTAGATAAAATTAACTTGAATGTCTCTGTGTTTTGGTTCCGTGGAAGCCCATGTAGACATGACCGTGTGTTTTCAAAGATGAATGTGTTACAGGTCATTGAGCTCATTTAGCCATCTGCTAGAACTTGTAAGAAAAGAAGGAATGGAAATATTCACACATTGTATTCAAATTAAAATGTCTGTTAAAAAAGTGGTGATTTTCAGAAATTTTCAACCAGCTGGTGCAGAAATCAGAAAAAGCTATTTGAAAACACACAATATTGCTTCTTTTTAACAAATCTGTCAAAAAAATGACTCTGTAGCTGTTTTTCACTTCTAGTATACAGTAGATGTAGTATATTTCTCCCATCAAAGTAATCAGGAGGAAATTAAAACTGTGCAGAGAAGAAACATGCATGTACATTTATTCTTTAGCTATAGATCTTTTGTTAATGAGGAAAAGTAACTACAAAAAATCGTCAGAACCTTGCAGTTTATGTGTGCTTTACCTGTCGCTTTGAGTAATGCAGCTGTTGTAACAGCACATGTAAAAGTTAGTCCTGGTAGAAGCAAGCTCAACACGTGGATATAAAGGCAGATCACCATGACACCCAGAAGATTTTGCAATGGGAGACATGTTGCAGAAAATGGTTGCTCCTTCATGACTGCTCTCAGCTACAGGAATTTGTATATACTTGCACAGGCATCACAGCTTGGTGGCACGTTGTGGTCTGAACTCTGAGAGTCTCCATCCATTTCCTGCTCAAGTTGAGTCCTTCAGCGAAGTCCACAGCTGAGCAATAAACAATACTATGTGTTCTGGAAACAGGAACTATTAAATGAGGGGCTGTGCAAATTTTCAAGAGCAGTGAATGAGAGGACACAGAATAATAAAGCATAATAAAGCTGTCATAAAACAGCTGAAGAGCTCCCAGTAATCTTCCTCGTAACAGAAGAAGCACTTCAACAGAACTCAGAGACAAGAAATTAAAATCTGTTAATGGAAGTATCTTTCTGAATGATACCTATTATCCTCTGGAATGCTTGACCCTATCTTTCAGTGATACATCACTGAAATCAAGATATTAAAAAAGTTTTGAAGTATACAAGTTTGGAAGTCTACTTAGTCCACTCTTCTCTGGGCCGTATTATGCAGCTCTAGTAAGCTGCTGAAGTCAGTCGACTGTACAAGCAATAAGAATGTGCACAGTTATGCTTAAGTTCAAAGAGTACAAGCTATATAAACCATCAAGACTGAAAGACCCAAGCAGCTACTTAAAACTTCTCTTACAGGTTGTTTTTTCCAAAATGACCTGCTCAATCTTCTCCTGAAGACTCTGACATTAGCTACAGCTAGAGCCTGGACACATGACTACTCTGATCTCCTATGGCAGTTCCTTTCTGGTTACTTCTTGCAGCAGCAAATCCTTTCCCACATCTTCTATGCTGTTCAGGTTTCCAGTGACTGACAGAAAGGAAGGTGGAATCTTCAGCCCCAAACAAATCCTAGGCCAGTTCCCATTGTGGCTACTCTTTACCAAACAACAGAACACAGTCATTTGCTATGCTTTTATTTCATGATCTTTCCTAGCATCACTGTCTTCCTTTTCTACAGAAAGTGAGAACTTTACCCAGAACTATTAAATTGTGGAATGTCTCCCAAAGGAGGTGACAGGCTTACAGCAGCTGAGTCATTCAAAACTTGAACGAACAAATCATTTGCGGTTATAGAGTAGGGACCAACCCTGTGCTTTCAGAGGCAGAAGCACAATGACCCACACTAAATCTGTTCTACTTTTGGTTTCCAATACTGACTGATGTGAGGCACATTTTCATAAATCATTATGACTTTTTTTCCCCTCCTTCAAAAAAAACCAACCCCATAGGACAGCTTGTTCTGCATCTATCAGAATTGTTAAGATCTGAGCCACATTAAGATGCTGGGCTTCTTATAATACTAGCCAGCCAGGCCTAAGTCACCTACACCAGGAATGTACATTGTTTAGAAATTTTGAAGACTTAAAAATAAGTTCAATAAACAGTCATCAGTTAGGAAATAACAGCAATCATCCCCTCTTGTGCCATATTACACTGGATTCTTCTCCATTGATCTGAGTGATGCTGAACAATATGTGGGTCGCAGGACTGTGCTACTGGTATGGAGTGGCTTATGCAGAAGAAGACAAGTCCTGTAAAACTGCAGGTGCAAATAATGTCATATGCAAAACATACTCAGCATGGTATGGTGCTGGCATGATCTGGGATGAACAAAGCTTAGCAGAAATTTGTCTTTATGTATAGGGAGCTAGAAACTGCAGATTTGCTGCAAGGTGTTGTCATCTTTGGAAGTAATCTATTTTGATAAATAATATTTCATTTTAAATATAGTAATGGTTGCTATGCCTTCTTGAGCTATATTTTAAGGAGCTGCACAAGCAAGTGAGAATGTATTATCCATGCATGTCATCTGTGATTGTACTGTTGCTTTGACTGAAACATTTGAGGATGTGGAGGTGGAGTGGAGCCAGAATGTAACAGTCCATAACAGCTATGCCAGACCTAACAGGCTGAGCATCTATGCAGCCTTCTCTTGCTGAAAGCACTTCTGCTGTCCCACCCTCCTTCTGGGTCAGGTACAGGGGACACTAATCTTCTCCCAGCCTATTTCTGCTGCTTCTACTTCTTCCTACTCTTTCCTGTTCTGAGTAGCTCTGGCTCTAAGTCTTTTCTCCTCCTCTGCATTGTCTCATCTATCACCTACCTCTCCATCAGCCTTACACTCTGATTTCAAAGCCTGTCTCTCTCTTCCCATCCCAGCTTTTCCCACTTACTTGCATAATTTTAGCATTCAAGCTGCTGACCTGTGATCTGCACATTTCCTTACCCATTTATCTTTCAACCCATGGTTCTCGTTCATCTCTTTTGCTTGCCTTGAGGACTTTTCACTTGGTTTTTCCCCAACCACTGATTCCTCTGATCACTATTGAACTTCTGTTCCCAGTCCTCACTTCCACAAGCATTCATGGCCCCCTCCCTACATACAGACCCTCAGCACACCCTAGCACAGCCATGCTGTGTCTCTCCTGCTCCATTGGCACCAGCCATGACAGAAATCCTTCTGGTTTCTCAGTTCTGCCCTTATTTATCAATATAGTTGTCAGGTCCCCCCAAGCTTCACACTCCAACTCTCTACTCCTCTCTTCTGAATGTCAAGGTTTGTCCTAGGAGTCCACACCCCTATCCCTTTGCCAACATCTGCACTTTCTGATCTTCCTCTCCTTCTATGAAGAACTGCTAGTGGAAATCCTATGGCAAGGCTGACAGCATCGATCTCAAATTCATTCCAAGTTCTCAGTGTACATTCCTTTCTTAAATTTGTCCAAGAAGAATTCAGCAAATTACTCCATCTAAACGCTCTCAATCAGCAAATCTACAGAACTGTTCTAAAGTCACTTCAAAAGAAACTTTATTTTCAAACGAAAGTTTAAAGGTATCTTAGCTCTTCAAATAGATTCATCAACGAATCATAGAGTGAATCAAGTTCAAGCTTGGCACGTGTGGAGGCAGCTCCTAGTGGGTCTGAGATAGCAACAAGAGAGCAGATCGTCTTTTGCTTCTAAACATGTAGCCCAGCGTGACTACAGCAGTGGAGTCAGGTTCTTAGGGTCTGTTTTTTTGGCATCCTCAAGCATTCAAAAGCAGAGGGAAAAAGAAAACCATTTTAAATCAACGTATTTGTCTCAGTTTATTTTAGGGACACATTAGCCTCTGATATTAGTTACCATGAGGTCATTCTTATTACAAGAAGCAATGCATTTCTGGCTCTTTTCTGTTCCTTGACAACCAACTCCATACACCCATTGGCAATATTTTCTGGTAGTACTGGCAAGCTCTTGGGTCTTCTTTGCACTGTCTAGATTCAACAATTCAATACAAATTGTGACCTTTTCAAGTCACGCTAAATAAAGCAAATTGGCCTTTCCCATCTTATCCCATGGCCTTGATCCTGAAAGTCCATGTATGGTCTGCAACAGGCAACGCAAGACTGTGAATGCTCTGCCTGGGCACAGTTCCTTAAGAGCAAGGGAGAGCTCCCCCTCACAGAGAGCACGTGAGCTACGTGTGCCTATTCTAACGTGCTTTGACTGAAGGGACAGAATGCAAAAAAACTCCAAAGAAAAATAGAAAAAGGTTTTACTCTTCAAGAAAGGATGTTTTTCAGATAACATCTCTGAGTAATGCTCAGGGGATATCAAGTTATTTAGCTATGTTCTTCCAACTTCAGTGATTCTATTCAGAATTGTTTGCCTGTTTTGTCATTTATCAAATATATACAATAAAAGCTTGTTAATCCACTGTCTTCTTTCATGCATGAAAGATTCAGTCACATGTAAAATAAAACACAAGCTCTCCTCTACTTCGAGTTGCAAAAAATGCATTAACAGAATCGAACATGTATGCTCCTTTACAGTACAAAGTGCAACATGATACATAAATCATGTAGCATGGTAAGAAAGTTTCAGCTGAGGTGGGGAGAGAGTTCAAAATTCAAGGGCAAAACATAGAGAACACCTGATTAGCAGCTCTCTCCACTTTATACTGAGAGAGTTGTAGTGAAAACACTTCAGCTGAGGGAAAAATTACATAGGGAGAAAGGACAAATTCTCATTTGGCAGATCCCTAACTTCTAGGCAATAAAACATAAACCAAGGACTAAGCCCCAGCAGGGGAACCTATGGACAATCAAAGGTACAAAGGAAGGAAGTTCTACCAGGCTGTATGTAACTAGGTCATGTGCAGGTGTAGTCTCATTTTAATGCACTGTGTTAACCTTGAGGAGTCTAAACAGTATGCCAAGAAGGGCAGCAAATCCAAATTAAGTAATTCCAAACCCTTTAAGTGATTAAGGTCTCTACTTCAATGTGGTCACTTAGCAGAAGGAAGACAGTGGACCTCAGCTGAGAAAAGCAGGCACACTGAGTGAGAGGGATGAGAGCTGGTGAAGGGGCTGGAGAACAAGTCTTATGAGGAGCAGCTGAGGGAACTGGGGTTGTTTAGTCTGGAGAACAGGAGGCTGAGGGGAGACCTTATGACTGTCTACAACTATCTGAAAGGAGGGTGTAGAGAGGCAGGTGTGTGTCTTTTCTCCCAGGTAACTAGTGATAGAACAAGAGGAAATGGCCTCAAGTTGTGCCAAGGGAGGTTCAGATTGGATATCTTCACTTAAAGGGTTATCAGACACTGGAGAGGGCTACCTAGGGAAGTGGTTGAGTCACCATCCCTGGAGGTATTAAAAAGATGGGTAGATGTGGTGCTCGGAGATATGGTTTAGTAATGGACAGGTACGGTTGGACTTGATGATCTCAAAGGTCTTCTCCAACCAAACAATTCTATGAAAAAAACCCTCAATTTTTCATACATTCTGGTAGATTTTTCCAACCTGTGGATGTGAGATACATTGTATTGGTATCACAGAGCCAAGATTTGGCTTGCAGCCTAAATCAAAACTTGGATAGAGGCTTTGACAACACCTGCAGGTTTAAGACATGCAGAACTTGCAGATGATGGCACAGTGTAGCTTGTGTCTGCCTCCAGTCTTCCCCAAAGACCTTCGTTCGTAACAGCAGAAGGAGAAATGGGCGGTAGAGTAGCCTTGCCGATTTTGGAAATAATGTACATGTAGCCAAAACCAATGAACAGCAAAAGCAAAGGGAGATGATTACAGGCTGTAACTGATAATCTGCTTAGTGGCTAATTTCTTAATGCAGAATCTTCTTCCCCTGCTTTACCTGTCCTACAATTTCCTTTTACCTTGTACTTGTAGCTGTAGGATGTAGATACACTGTAGTAGGCAGGATCAAGTCCTATGAGTATCACACTGATACTGTAACAGATTCTTAAAAGATTTTAAGACATCTCTGGTTTTATTTCACTTGCAGAACTGAATTATTTCAATTTTCTATTCCTATTGTATACTATTGCATGTGTCTACTCAGATGACCTTGAGAAAACAGGAGTTGCCATAGGAGGTCAGATCACATGTAGAGTGATCTCACCTCTACCAATGTCTCCAGGCACCCTTCAGAGGAAGGCTGAGAAATATCACAGTTATGCATTATTATATATGGGTTGAAAAAAAAAAAAATTACTTTCTCCTGAAGAAATCATTATGTGCCTTTTTGCACAAGGCTGTCCTTATCTTACAATTACAAATATAACTCTGTTTTAAGAAGGATATATATGTTTATAAAAGCAAATGGCAGAATGTGACTGTTGTCCTGGGACACAACATCCCAATTCAGTGGGTTTACGAGCATTTTATGATCACTCAGTGTGTGTGGATGTGCATGAATAATGGCCTCTCTTTCACTGGACTGAAGTTGCATAGTTGAAGCAGTGTGACAGTACTGCCTTGAGCCTGTATTCCTCTCTCATTAGTTTTATCTCACTTGACTGGTGGCAAAAGCAGTATTATCCACAATTTTGGAGAATATCCTCTTATCTGAGGGAAGGGTGTTGTGAGGTGAGAACAAAGAATATGAGAAGTAAACAGGGGGTCACAAAATGTTTGCAGAAAAGATAAAGGTTATATGGTATCAAAGGAGCATTGTAAATAAAAAAAGGTTTAGTAAATAATAAAATGAGACAATGACCAAAGTAAATTAACTCTGTCATGTAACTCAGGTACTTGAATAGAAACTTCTCAAAGAATTTAATGCTGTGTAGGAAAGGTTATTTCTGGTTTAGTTTAATTTTTCACAAACATTTGCATTTTTTAAAACAAACTTCAGAGTGTTTGGATTACTGGCTTATTCTGTAATCAATTTTAGAGAAAGAAGTTATGAACTAGTAAAGAAAAAAAGACAGTCTCCTATCTTTTCTGTTGCTGCTTAAATACTGATGCAGGAAGTCATTTGCCTATTCTCAATTTTATTTGATAGAACAAAAACCCTAAGCAATAAAACTAAGGTCCAAGAAAAACATTTAGCTTGAAAAAAGGTTGAAAAATGTACCCTTGGAAAGACCACTGCTTACATGGGATTGTTCAACAAATTCCTGTTGTGTGAGGTTTGGCATATACTTTCTAAAAATATAAGCATCTGGGGAAACCAGACAAAGCCCAGGTCTTGGACCAAGCGAGGCATGCAGCGTGAATCTGTTAGCGATTATATCCATCGTGAAATATGTGCCCAAATTTAGCAGTACAAAACCCCAACACAATATGAAAACACAGCGTGTACGGCCCTTACCACAAAATATAGCCAACAGCGAAGGTGCACACTGCAGCCAATCCACAGCTCCTGCTGGGATACTGATGATGTGTTGTTCTCATCTCGATTAATACAAAGGGCAAAACTGTTGTATGCTGAAAAAAAACAAAACAACAGGGGAAAACCAGGTGATCAGGTGATACAAATGATTCTCATTGTATTTCCATGCTAGTGCTACAGTAAGAAACTTAATCACAAAAATCTGTAAACAATTTCTTGATGGTCTAGAAAGACATGGTAAAATGGCTCTATAAAGTCCATCAATAACCCAAATAATGTCATTGCTATAACATCCAATTGTTGAAAAGAGCAGAGGAATTCTGAGTGACCAGAATGTGCTTTTCCTTTTGGCCAGGAATGCAAGGCGGATACTCGGTGAGTAAAAACGGGATGTGGCATGAGGGGACATGGGTCCCAGCCCCAGTCTGGTCTTGCAATTGCTCTGTGACGTCTGCCACATCACAGAGTTATTTTGACCATTCAAGTTAATAGGCAATGCACCTGATTTTCAGAGACTCTAGGCACAAACAATGCCTAATGAATGAATATAAATGGAGGTATTTAATGCTTCTGAGAATCAGGTTTAAATGTATCTCAATCTGGGGACTTGAAAACAGAGGACATATTCTCAAATGATAGCCTCAATACCTCTGTTCCTCCATCTGTAAGAGAGGAGCAATTATCTTCTTTGGAAAGGTGTTGTGAATCTTAAGTTGTTAGTTGTTGTGCAAAATGGTTTTACATTCCCAAATGAAACATATGAAAGCCAAAGCTGTAAAAACCATTTTCAGCCACTTTACTTAGCTGTGAAAGTCTTTACTTTGTAATTTTTCCATACATATTTCCTGCACTGCCCCTTATGAGAAAGTCTGTTCATCCAATTAATGTCAACAGTATGAAAAATTGCATCTAGCCTGCCCCCAACACTCGATGTCTAGATTTCGGAGTGCTGGCAGGCATGAAAATATACATAAGCATAGCACAAATGTGCCAGGAAATAAACCCCACCATTCCTGAATACACAGCTCACCTAGGACCAGCATCATTAAGCTGAAAGAAGGTAGGTTTAGATTAGATATTAGGAAGAAGTTCTTCACTGTGAGGGTGGTCAGACACTGGAACAGGTTGCCCAGAGAAGCTGTGGCTGCCCCCTCCCTGGAAGTGTTCCAGGCCAGGCTGGATGAGGCTTTGAGCAACCTGGTCTAGTGGAAGGTGTCCCTGCTGATGGCAGGGGGGTTGGAACTAGATGATCTTTAAGGTCCCTTCCAACCCAAACCATTCTATGATTCTATGATTACTGGCCACTCCAGAAACACACCTTACCTTGCCACCAAGGGGCCAAGTTATCGCTGGTGCACAAAGGGAATCACTTTGGTCGAGAGCTTGGCCCTGCAGCTTGGTGTGACTGTGAACTCTCTTGCCCAGTCTGCAGGTGCAACGACTGCAAGGGCAGCCTAAGCCCTACACCACGTTCAATCCCTCCTCAGCACTTGCTCACCAACTGGAAAAGAAGGTTATGGCTTACGCTGGCCACATTCTGCCATCAGATGTGCACATGCAGTTCTGAGAGGAGCTGGAGGGCTGAATTAGTAATAATTACACTGCAAACCCACACTGATATTCACCAATCTGAAGGCAGGACAGGCACGGAGTAGAAATATCCCTGCGTGGGTAACAGCTCCAAATGAGAGGAAACAGAGCGAGGTCTGAGCCTTTAACAACTGCAAAGAAGGAAGAACTTTTTGAATGGGAAATAATAAGATAATGGAAATGCTCTGGCTCAGAGGTGTAACGTAATTTGAATTGGATAACTGCTCTGATTTTCAAGGCATTAGTAATTAATGACCAGCATTTGGAGAATGTCAGGTGGATAATAAAGCAGTTAGGGGAGCTTTCAATTTCTTCATCTTTTAACAACCTGTTCCGCCCCCATCCCTTTAAACAGCATAAATCAGCATCAAGGGAATGCAAAGATGTTTTACATGCGGTCTCCAATACAGGTGTCCACTAGTAGATGATGAGGCCTATAAACTCTGCAGGACCTTCAGAGTCCATTAACAGGCACTGACAGCAAAGCACACCCTGGAGATTCACCTGTATGTCTTACATCTGTATGGAAAAGGTCTTCAGACAGAGATCAGTACCTCACTCTGCAGAGCCCCCAAAGCAGGGTAGCTGGAGGCTGTGCAAACGTCTCCTGCCCTGCCTCCATAACCTCTTCAGAGAGAAAACCAGAAGACAAAGACTTTTAACTCTAAACCCTACCCTTGATATTTCTTGAAGATGTATTCTTGTGATCCAGTCAGTCTTAACTCTTCACTGTATGGATGATGGTTACAGAGCTTGTGAGCTCTGTTTCTCAACTGAAATGTTTACCACTTCAGATACTGCTTGTTGATGTGCTCTTCATTGATGATAACAACTCAACAGCTTGCCAATTAAAAAGTAGTTAAAGTAATTTCAGCAATCAACCCTTAATCTAGAGTCATTTTCTCCTTTCCCTCCTCCCAGTTCCTGTGGTTATATAATAAAATAGGTAATTATTTTCCTAAATTCTCCCTCCTGCTCTTTTCTAAAGGTAAGGGGAGGGGAAAGAGGATAATGAGCAGTACCACTAAAGTGTTTATGTACAAAATCCTGTCAAAAGTACAGTGCAATTAAAAGTGTGAGGAGAAAATCAGAGATGTGTACCTTTAATCTTCATCTCCTGCAGCAAATGTTGATGCTAACTGCAAACACTGCAGTTTTACAAATCCAGAGTATGAACTTTGGTTTAAAATGTTCTAGTGAAACAAAACTGCCACTACAAAAAGCTGTTTCAGATGCTTTACCCAAATTACAAGCAAGATAAAATTTTCCTTTCCTACATTTCAGTCCCTCCAAAACCCTTAATTTAAAAAATATGAAATTTTGTAGGCAGGGATATCTTCTGTCAAACAGTGCCAATTAAAACTCTGGAGCTACAAATACCAAATTTGAATCAGACTGGCACCCGAACTGAAACCTAGTGAAGGTGAGCAGGGTTCCATTGTTCTTAGAGTGGGATCCATCAGGCCTTGGAAAGCTGCGGGAGCCCAGAAATTTCATACCCTCTAATGTTTTTGCCACCCGATTTCTGAATAAACTTGGGCCAATGGGAATCTGAGGCTTAGAGAGAAAATAACATTGATGTTTCCTTGACCTGTTTGTTAAAGATCACACTGTGCCAATCAGAGATGCCTGACTGGTGTCTCTGGGACTGATCCCTTTTACTTGCCGGCAGGCTGGAGGACAGCACAACATTTCTCACCTTGTTTGTCAAAGTATCTCCAGGGGCTTACTTGAGAGAAGACTAAGGAATTAGGAAGTTCAAATAACAAGGAGGTTTAAATGGTGAGGATGATTAGCTGCTCTAACAGCTTTCCAGTAGCTGGTATTTTGCACCATTTAAAGTCTTTAAGAGAAGGACAAATTTATAATTACAGTACAATGATTAGTGTAGTATTATATAGTAGCAAACTATGCTAGTAATCAATGCTACACTGAGAAGTCATTTTTATTATGGATTAAGTATTTACAAGCAAAGCTGCATTTTCACCTGGACAGCTTGTTCTGCTCCCACTGAGACCAGCTGCTCCTGTGAGACAGTTCTGCCTGTATGACTGTGCTGACACTGGAGACTCGGGCTGAGCAATGCTGTGGGTACGTCAGGGAGCACCCTCTCTATCAGCTGGGAAGGTGACCCTCACTGCACGGGCGCCCTGGGGTGACCTCAGGCTTGGGTAGCCCCCAGCCCTGCCCGGGCAGCAGCAAAGGAACTAATGCACCCTACTGTTAGCAGGAGCTCTGAGCTTGGGCTCAGTAGCTATTTTCTGCTAGCAAGAAAATGTACCCTGTTGGCTTCTCCTGCCATGACCACGGTGCTGCCTGCCAAGGTGCTCTCCCAGCTGCAAGCCCATTTTCTCCAGAGTGCCAAGGCAGTGACCCTTAGACCCATTTTTAATCCCTCTCTGAAGGAACCAATCTGCCAAGGCTGCCTTGTGAGCTGATGCACAGCAGTAAACCTCTGTTACCCACCCACAGCACTGCCCTTCTCCGACCCCTCATGCCCCATCACAGCCTGTCCCTGCTGCGGGGAAGGCAGCTTTGACAGACCTTTATGCTTGCTAGGTCTGCTAGTAGGTGTCTGCAGAGCAGCAAGCTGCAATTTCCTCCTCATTTTGCGTCCTCATACTGCACTGCTTCCTGAGGTCCCGTCACCTACAACTGGGGAAGAAATTTGGCTTGCAAAATCTTCAGCTGCTGCTAACAATGCATGAAAACAGAGAGAAACCAGCTTAACACGTGGAGCCTGGGTGGAATTTGCGGGAAGGTTATCCTACGGAGAAGTTGATCCAGAAAACACTCTGGAGACTGATCCAAAGGAGCAACCTCTGAGTGAGGCTGCATTAGCACACACTGCAAAAAAAAGCCACCCCGAGAGCTGCAAGTGGATTCTCAGAACCACTGCCACTGCTTCCTGAGATAAATTCTGCTCATTAATGACTTTTTAAAAGTCATTATTAAAATATGTACTGCCCCCGATATGACATATATGTGCCTAATAACATTTGAGACACATTACAAACAGGCAGCACATCTGTAGTGCTGGCTTGACAAGCTGAGCTTTGATGGAGGACTGTGCTTCCCTATTTTAGGTGTGTGCTGCAACAGGTAGCTGGAAAAAAAGATTTTATGCAAATCAAGTACATTAAGACTGAGTACTGTAGCAGTCTTTAGGCAAATTAAGTTCTAATTCTTGAAAGCCTGATTATATATTTTATCTTCCAACCGGTAAGTGCTGTTTTTTTAAAAAACTATCTTCATCAATACCTTGCTTGGCCTTTTTTTCTCCCTTAACTGTGTTTTGAAGAGAATGTTAAAGCTTTTCAAAAGGTGCTAAATTGTCAGTTCTGTGTATTGTTATCTTCTGTCCTTAGCACAAACACGGCAGTGAAATCTTCCCAAGTCACCCAGTCCTGCTGATCTGCAGAAACTGTCCAGAACTACCTTTACTTCAAGGAGTTCAGTCTAAAAAAGCACCTGCTTTTTCAGATGCCCAGTCAGTATGCTGAAG